AAAAAAACAAAGGGCCCTTCAATTATTTTCTTTTTGCTGTGAAATAACAACATCATGAGAAATTACTTTGGAAAAGTCAAGTGAACCCTATGCAATTTCTTATGTACAAATTTCCAAAAGAAAATTAAAAAAAATATGAGGAAATCATGAAATTCTCTGCACTTGCCAGTTACCAGCAACAAATAACTGCAGTAAAAATATAACACGACAATTATAACAGAATTTTTCATTGTTAATCAAAACTTTCGAGTTAAAATCTTCAGTTACCTTAGCTTTTTTTTTAAAAAAAAAAATTTAATTGAACTTTAACGTAGATACTATAAATCGAAAAACCAAAAAAAGCTACAGTAAAAAGAGGATGGAGCCCTCAGCCCAGTATAGAAAACAGAAAAAAGTGGAGCCCATAACCCGCCACCCAAACAAGTCCTCGGTGACCAAACTCGGACGCTTTCGTCTTTCACACAGTAGTCGACGACTTTCTTCCACCATTTTACGCTCTCCTAAAAAACTACATATGGAAGCAATGCTTAACTTCCACAGCTTCAAACTCGTCCACCCATTTTTTTTCCTTTCTCAAAATCCCCCTTTATCTCCTCACCTTTTCTCTTTCTTTCTCCCTGTATATATATACGTATAAAGAATCAGTCTTTTTTGTTTTTTCTTATACAAACATGCCTAATTCTTGTAAAATTCGTAATTTTTTCGTTGCCCCAATTCTTTTCTTGGCGATTCTTGGATACCAGTTGCAGAGAACTGATGGGTTTGGGACATTCGGGTTTGATATCCATCACCGGTATTCGGATCCGGTGAAGGGTATTTTGGACCTTCATGGGTTGCCTGAGAAGGGGAGTGTTGAATATTATTCAGCTTGGACTCAACGTGATCGGTTTGTTAAGGGCCGCCACCTTGCTGATACAACAAATCCCACAGTGCCCCTTGCTTTTTCTGGAGGAAATGAAACTTTGCGGCTCAGTTCTTTGGGATTGTAAGCTCCCTCTGTTTGTTGTTGTGTTTACTGTCTTTTGCTTTTTCTGTTAGGTTGGATGTCAGAGGTTGACTGTGGTTTAGTTTGTTTTTGTCCGTGTAGTTGGAGGTGTAGGGATAGTAATCCTATATCAGGAAAAATAGGTTACCTAGACTAAAGAATTTCCATGTCTGTGTTGGTAGGAGGCAAAATTAATCATTGAATTAGTAGAGGAAGGTCCATGTCTCATTTATAGTTTGAAGAAAGATTTAGGCCTTTTTGGTATGATTGTCAAACCAAACAGGACATATAACTCTATTTTGGTAATTTAACTGTATAAGAATACTGACTCTAAATTTTGAATGTACTGTTATTCTAGTTCCAGTTCAAAGCTCCGAATTCTGTTCTTTTTTGGATTTTCCTCTCCTCTGCTGTCTTTTAGTTCTCTCTCAAGACAAGGGGTTGTCGTGATGTTTTTGGCAGTAGCATGTCTGTAATTAATATGTCTTTAACTGTAGAGTTGCGAAGTCTGTAATATCTGTAGTTGTGATGTAACTAATTTTTTCTTTGGCAAATTTCAGCTTGCATTATGCAAATGTCACTGTGGGCAGTCCTGGGCTATCATTTCTAGTGGCACTTGACACTGGCAGTGACTTATTTTGGCTACCATGTGATTGCAGCAACTGTGTGCGTGCCCTTCAGACACGCAGTGGAAGAGTATGTTAATTCATCCTAGTACTTTTTCTTTTTCAACTTTCAAATGTTTAAAGAGTTTTTCTTTTTAGTTGATCATCCCTTCTGTATATTGCCTTCTGCAATGAAGAATATTGATAATCACAGGGAGTAGTTGTACAAACTTTTCTTCCTTTTGTAATTAAGAAACCTGCTGATAACTCAATGGCAGGCGACAGCACACAGCAGATTTCTCTTAGTCTGTCTTTATCAGTCATTATGACAGTAACAGATTATCTTCTAAGTTAGCAAGATATGCGGTGGACGTAGAATTTGAGGAAGTATTTTTCTGTTAAGGAAGATTCATAACTAACACAAAATGGATGATTTCAACTAAATCAATAGTTGCAAAGTGAGTTTGATGCATGTTATATCCTGAAATTGAAACAAAATTTATGATCCATATCGTTCGTAGCTTGTTAGTCATTGAAGAATTTTTAGATTCTTAATAGCCTAAGTACTTGACACTCCTGACTCCACCAGAGTTTGCCTTAATTTTATTCCTCTTTTGCCTTTCCCTTTTTACGTTTCTGTGCATTATTTCTTGGTTGACACTTATAATCATCCATCTTCCTTTGTTTGCTTTTGAAACAGCGAATAAATCTTAATATCTACAGCCCTAATACGTCTTCAACGAGTGAGGTTGTTCCGTGCAATGGCACTTTGTGTGGACAAAAGAGACGATGCTTAGCTTCACAGAATGCATGTGCTTATGGAGTTGCATATCTCTCCAATAACACCTCATCATCAGGGGTACTGGTGGAAGACATCTTGCACTTAGAAACAAATAATGCTCAACAAAAAAGCATTGAGGCTCCAATTGCTCTGGGGTGGGTATAATTACTTTTTCTTTATCATTGGAAGAGATTAAGGTGACTAGTACATGCCTTGTTGTTTGAGAGATGCAGTCACATTCTAGTTAGAGCAGACTTGGAATTTTTAACTACTCAAATGATAGTGTTTATAACTGGTTCCATATACCAAAATTGGTAAAGCATTGTAATTTGGATCTTCTGAAGCATTTCTTTATCCACCATAAATTTTATTCTATTTCTTTCATTCCAGGTGTGGGATAAGACAAACAGGTGCATTTTTAACTGGTGCAGCTCCTAATGGTCTATTTGGACTTGGTATTGAAAATATATCTGTCCCAAGCATGTTAGCAAGCAAAGGTCTTGCTGCAAATTCTTTCTCTATGTGCTTTGGACCTGATGGTATTGGAAGAATAGTTTTTGGAGATAAAGGAAGTCCAGGCCAAGGAGAAACACCACTCAATCTTGATCAACCACAGTAAGCTGTCACTTCGATTTTCTGGTTTTAACATTAAGGGAAGTGAGAATTCAACTGAATATGTATTTACTCGTTCTCTCTCTCTGAATGCAGCCCAACTTATAACATCAGCCTGACAGGAATAACAGTAGGAAGCAAGATCACTGATCTTGATTTCACAGCCATTTTCGACTCTGGCACTTCATTCACATACTTGAATGACCCAGTTTACAAAGTCATTACAGAAAACGTGAGTGAGAAACTAACTGTATGAGTTATCTGTGAGTTTGTTCTTTATATTTTAAAACTGAATACTTTGCTTCTTTTACAGTTCAATTCTGAAGCAAAACAGCCACGTGTTCAACCTGATGGTGAAATTCCTTTTGAGTACTGCTATGGGATAAGGTGAGCCAGCTTTTTTATTCTACTTTTTACTTTCTTGATGTCCTTTGAACTCTCTGGATTAACGTGCTCCATTTAAGCAGTGCAAATCAAACTACGTTTGAAGTTCCAGATGTAAATTTGACAATGAAAGGTGGCAACCAATTATATCTTTTCGATCCGATAATAATGCTCTCACTCCCAGTAAGATGGTTTCTGCTCCTTTTATGTTAGAGCATTCTCTTTTAAAATATTCTAATATTCCAGCTGTTATCCTCAGAACGGTTCAGGCGCATACTGTTTAGCTGTTGTGAAAAGTGGGGATGTCAACATCATTGGACGTAAGTATCTATCATCTATCGGTTGCTCCTGATGTTTTGTTCCTTTCCATTGAAATCTGTAATGTAACTTGCACTCCTACCAACTAATGATCTCACAGTTACCAAGTTTTAGAAGTCTCAGTTCCAATCGATCTCTTGAGTCTTCACTTCATCTTAAATTATAGATTTTGGAAACCTATTTGTAGAACTCACTCTCAAAAACCTAAGCTATTTGTCAATTTACGCTGATCCTCTTTCTGTATTATGAATAAATGACAGAGCAAACTAATATAAAGATCCTTCTGCAGAAAATTTCATGACTGGCTATCGTGTAATATTTGATCGGGAGAAGATGGTTTTGGGTTGGAAAGCATCTGATTGTGAGTTTGCAATCCTGAGTATAACATTTTTAGTGTGCACACCTGTTCATGTTTTAACTAGAAACCTTTCTTGGCAGGTTATGATTCTGGAGAATCAAACAATAAATCAACAACTCTGCCCGTGAACAAGCACAATTCTACTGAAGCGCCTTCGCCTGCCAGTGTGGTGCCAGAGGCCACCAAGGGAAATGCAAGTGCAAATGAACCCGCTACATCGTTCCCATCTGTTCCATCATCTAGACCTGCAGGAAACCATGCACCACATTTGAATTCCTTCTATTGCCAATTTATGATGGCTATCTTTTCCTTTTTTAGCTATTATTTGATTATTATTTCTTCATGAGGCTTTTATTTGTCCTCTGTATAATATTGAGTTCTGTTGCAGCATAGAATTGAAGTGTCCCACAGCATTTTTGATATTGCAGTTTATACCTAATATATGTACTGTAAATATGTCTCTGATTTCTTTCTGTCTTTTCCCCCATTTAAGATTAAATACACTTCTTTCATTAAAAATAGCCTGTAAAGGGAATTTTCTTGTTTTGGTTCTGTATGATCCTTGAAACTAAATTAGCAAGTGTATGACCTAATAGTCAATGAAACGATTAACAACCATGGGAGACAAAGCTTAGACACCACCAAAGACGATTACAAAGCACTAGGTGAGTTCTTTTCGACTTATGCTCTGCCGAGTAGGCAGACAAGCCAACGTATGTGCAAACTGACATCACCATTGCTGTATCAGGGGGGAAATAATGCATGAAATTGTACTTTTGTGGTATTTCTTTTCAAACAGACTTCAGCGCAATAATCAGAATAGAAGGAAGTAGCTGCATTTTGAATCTCAGACGAGTACAGAGGAATTACATTAAGTTTACAGCCGACTACTGTAAAAAAAATTGAAAATTGTACAACGTACAACTCTGCAAGTTAACACAGCAAAACACCGACGGAACCATAAATTTAGGCCATACAGTAAAAAATAAAGGAAGTAAAAAAATTAAAGTTGCTACGTATTGAGATTCACTAAGGCCACTATTCACCCCATACTGAACCATGATCCATTTTCATGAACCTTGTGTGTGTAATCCCATGAGAAGTTTAGGATCAAAATTATATAACCTCTTACTTTTCACTCTCTTATTTTACTCGCTTTTCATCTTTCTTCTTTGCCCTTGCTCGACTTTTTTCATTCTCCTTCTTTCCTCGCTCTCCATCGATATTCTTTGCCATTGCTTGACTTTTTTCATTCTTTACTACCGCCTTACCTTGAGAGGACAATGATAATTGTTGTGATTTCATCTTAATAGATTTAACTAAAGAAGATAGCTCGTGCTTCTCCTTTCTTGAAGGCAAATCATCAGACTGCAATTTTTCATTTGTTGCTGACTCTAATGTTCTAGATGGCTGCAGTGGTGCAGCTACTCCGGGATGTTGTTTTGCACTTACAATTTCTTCTTCGACCTTGTGCTGCTTTTGTGCCAACTGGCGAGCATAAGCTGCACTCCTGCAAAAACCAAAAATCTACCTGTAAACAAATGAAAAGACCAAGCACGCTTTGTTTTGGAATTGGGAAAAATGCCAGACCAGTTTTGTTTAAAAGCACAAACAAGAAATTGGTGTAAACAAGATGGGAAATACCGTTTGAACTGAGGATCTGTGGGGTCCAATGCAAAGAGGTGTGATTTAAAGAGAGATGAAAACCGTGGATCTTCATAATCTATAGTTGGTAACTTGTCCTCTACTGGAGTTCCTTTACCCTTCTTCCCCTTTGCCTTTTTAGGTTTCATGTTGTAACCCTTCAAGTTAGGGTCTCCTCCTTTGTCATCTGCAAGTAATAGCTCAAGCTCTGCTCTACTTGCCTCAGCCTCTTCAGATGCTTCAAGGCTCTGCTTCCCTTTCCTGGTGCTCTTATGTTGGGAATCCTTATCCCCTTTTGCAGAAGGCTCTTCTATGAAGAAGTCCTCAGGTTCATCTATAGGTTCTTGATCACTATCACTGCTCTCATCTTCTGATGAATCCTTGGTGTTACCTTTCCTGGACTTCTTTTTCTCCCTTTTCTTTCTGAGATAAGCTTCCCATACAGTTTCCGACTGTTTATCCTTCTTTTCTAGGATACGTTTGCTTAGATCTTCCAATCCAGTATTAAATGTGACCTCCATGTCCTGATCATTGTCCTCATTTCCATCTGAACCCTCCCCAGACTGGAGTAACGCACGGTAGGTATCTTGTTTTTTCTTCCTTTTGGCAGATTTATCTTCTGTGTCATCACCTTCCTCACTATCATCACTTCCACTCTCATCAGACGCCAAAAACTCTTTCAACTCCATATCTGCAAGCTGCCAACAAAGAAACAATATCACTATTTGCAGAGTAATAGAAAACAGTATTGAGGGAAAGAAACAAGGTTAATAAACATGAAGATTTTGTTAATGGGAAGGCATAAAATCTTAAAACCCCAAAAATGAATATCCCTTATATTGGAAAGTGCAGCACAACCCTACACCAGCAGCCATAATAGATAGCACAATACTAACACATAGATAGCCACATACAACACCTGTACGTACAAGACACATAGATAACCACATACAACACCTGTACGTATAAGACACATTAATAACCACATACAACACCTTACGTACAAGCAAGCAAGTGCACACTGTATCACTATCCCACTTTATAGGCTCACTGACAACACACCCAAGTAAAAAACAAAGAATAGAAAAAGACGTCAGAGGTGCCTGACAATCTTCTCACACTTGCTAATATCAGCAAGAGATATAGTTTGACAAAGTTCAAAATTTTCACGGAGATACTAAACTAAAAGACACATATATACACACACTCTACATCAAACAAGAGTAAACCTGTTCATCATTGAACTGTCTCTTCAAGGTCCTGATGCGTTGTGGCTCATCCTCATCCCATGTAAGTTCAATATTGCTGTGCTGCAAAGCTCGAGTGTGAAAATCTAGACCTTCATAATCTGCAGGGGCCTAAGTACCAGAAGAATATAACAATCAAACACAAGTGCAATTAGATTTTATGTTTTCAGCCAATAATAACCGTTAAAACTAAAGGCTCCTATGATGAGAAAGTGAAGCCATAAATTACTTCTGTTGCAATGTCACGTGGTTGATGCTTGAATTCCATGGAATCAGGAATAAATCTCAAATCTAATTTGTTTGATGTTCTTTCAAACTCAACCCCGTCACAAGTTTTGTAAAGATAATCTGCTGTAGCACTTGAATCGCATTCCACCACAGCATAATAATACCTGCAAAGTACAAAAGAAAGTATCTTTGAAACGAGACCTATATATAATGAAAGATGGGGAATTAATAAACAAGGAATAGAGGAGCATAAGGGTAAAAAAAGAAGAGGAACCGAATAAATTTCATAAAGGTTTATCAACAAGTTATCATTTTTAGTCAGCAAAAAATCCAAGAATCACTTAAAGATACATTACTCAGAAAAAACACAGAACCAAATCATCACCTGAGCCGACTAATTTCATAGGCGCGTAATTTTTCATTGTCCATCTCCTCCTCATCATCATCTTCATCATCACTGTCTTCATCTTTTGCCTTTTCCTCGTCAAATAGGCCAACTGGACCATGGACAGCCTCCTCTTCCATACGCTTGAGACCAAAGTCAGATGGATAGACAGCAACAGATGTTATTTGACCCCCTCTTGGGAGAAAGGAGCTCAATAGCATATACAAGTCAACTGCCTACATAGCATAACAGCTTACTGAGAAAAGAACTTAATAGTTCTATAGAAGTTAAATACATCAAGGCATAGTTTGGTTAATGGCTTAGTTACGCGAACTCTTCAGTTTTGATGCCACACCCGTCTCGGATTATCCAAAAATACACTACTTTTGGCGAATCCGACACGCACCCGTTGGCATTTTTGAAGAGTCCAAGCAACATAGGTTAATGGCTAGTTATGGAATATAATACAGGGTTTTAATAATAGTGTCAGGATTGTTATGAAGTAAAGAATAATGTAAGGTGCAGTTAAAAATAAATTATACAGAGATTACCTACTCCAAGGGATTTTTTTTGTCTTTTATTCTGATTCATACATTGCTACTAAATATATTATTATTTCACATTATGCAGCATAAACAATATATAGATTTCCACATAAGTTATGCTTTAAAGTAGTGCAGAGCTTAACACTGAAAACTAAACAATATTAGCTATGCAGAGATTTCTACCAACAACATTCTATAGATCACTTCAGTAGTTAAGAAATCTATATTACAAACCAAGTGACCCCTTATAAGTTTGAATTGAGGTGCAATCCACATTATGACCGCGGTAGGGTATGATGAATAATAGACAAACGCCCAACACTATCATATATTATAGATATAAATGCATGAACCCATAGATGGCCTCCCGTATACTCTGACTACTATATCTATTATTTTGTAAATTATCCAGAAAAGAAAACATTTTTGCCTGCAACTCAACTTCAAAGCTAAGGAATACTTCACCACAATACACCCGTGCATAACTTTTTTTTATAGGCTGCACCTTTCCACAACTATTTCTATGTTCAAAATTGAATGCTCAGCACAATCTATTAACAATTTACTCCAGCATCCAGAAATGCTCAAACTGTTATTCCAAAGTTATATGAGACTAGACAAAGCCAGTAATGGTCAAACAAAACTGAACTAACCATATTCTCATCCCAACCAATTCAACTGCCTGCAGGGCCAAAGTTATCTTGATAGGGTTGTCTTAAGCAATTATTAATTACAGTATTGTTAATGAAAAACAATTATAATTACCATATCAAAGAACAAAAGTTCCAAATTTGACACCTTTCTAGGGATCATTCAATTATCCATATTGGAAAAGAAAAAAAAACGAACCTTTACTCTACCCCAATCCATGTTAACAACAGCAAGCCTCTTAGTTTCCTTGTCAATCTCAGGCACATCCTCTTTCTGTTTCAGACCAAAACAAAAAAAATGCAAAATAATTAAAAGCCATAAATTCAAACATCATACCCAACAAAAATGCTGCCTTTTTCATTGTATACCTGCACGAAAGTGTCTTCCTCCTCTGAAGAATCTTCGGCCATTTCATCATCAGAATCGGAATCGGAATCGGAATCGGAATCGGAATCGGACGTACTTGCCAATGAATTATCACTTCCCACTTCCTCATCTTCATCTTCTTCGGACTCTGATGATACGGCGCCAACTTTCTTCAATTTATGGTCCTCAATTTCTTCTTCACTCGTCCCACTGTCACTCTTGGTCTCTTCTTCTTCTTCACTGTCATCATCGCTTTCAGATTCTAACACCTTTGATTTCTCCTTCTGCCTCTTCTGTTTCTCACCCTGTTCTTCTTCCTCAATATGGTAATAATGGTTAAGAGGGTTTTTAGCAGAAGATTTACGGGGTTTGCCTCTAATATCAGTCGATGCTTTTGATGATGCGAAGTTTTTATCAGTGAACATACGATTAAATCGAGAATCAATGGTAACTTTAGACTTTTTCTGCGGTGGTTCGCGGAATCTAGGATCCGAGTGTAACGCCGCAAATCGAGAATCATTGATGACATTCTTCTCAGTTCTATTTCCTCCGCCGCTTTCATCTCCGGCTGCGGAGGAGGCATCGGCCGGCCTTTTCCCCTTTCTGTTCTTATTATCCTTGTTTTTTGACTCCATGAATACGTTCTTCTTCTCGCTAAAACCCTAAAACCCTGAAATTTATTACAGATCGTATAAACATCGAAGAAGAAGACGATGACTTCACAGCTTCATGGACATTCAGAGCCCAATAAGGTCAGCCCAATGAACCCAACCCAAATACTTAACTGGATCAAAATCGGATGACTTACATAAATAACCTTGGAAGTTGATGGTTGAACTTTTGACCCAATTTCTCATATATGTTATAATGTATTATATTGTTAATTTAAATATAATGTTTGTTTTGATGGTTACTTATTCTTTGATGGTTGTTACGTATTATTTCATAATGTATTTGGTATCGTATGGTATCAAATAGCATCTTGCATATTTGATGTTAAATAAAGCCTATATGAAGGGTTTGTGCTATTGTTTTACCTTTTATTAAATAATTTTGGTTAATATTTTTTTAAAATATTAATTAAGATAATTATGACATGTTATTAATTTATGTGACATGGATTTGACATGTCATTTATTTAAGGGCGAGTGAACTACATACATGCTAGGAGGGGTTTAAAAATCTTATTTTGATTGAGTCTAAGGGTTCAATTAATAAAAGGTTAAATAGAGGAGTTCATAATACATACTCGTATAAGTACAATGATCGCCTTTATCTAAAGATGATATGTTCATTATAAAATTGATTCATATATATTTCTATTGTTAGACAAATTGTTCACATATATTATTTTTTATAACAATAATAAAAAAGAATAATTTTAAATTTATTTTATTAAGCTTATGATATATATATTTTACTAGATTTTATAAAGTTTATGTATTGTATTAAGAGTCCATGTATAAAATGGTAGAGGTTCACGCATGGGACTCAAGGTCCATAGATACATCTACGATGTATCAATTTATATACACATTGATATACACCTTATTATAAAAGTAGTTTATATATAGTTCTATCGTTGTAAAAATGACTCAAGTATATCTTTAGGTCTAATTAAAGTGAAAAAATAATAATTTTAATTTTTTATTTATCAATTTCTAAATCGCAAAAATTGAGGGTATATGGAGGGGTTTTCCTGTTATCTTTTCAACCCTATGTTGTTATCGTTGTTCTACCAAAACAAAAACTTTATGATCTCTTTTTAGTTTTTTGAAAAAAATTAGTCGATTACAGCTAAAACAATTAGCCTTTAATTTAAAGGAATCTTAACTATCAAACCCTTCAATTAGTTTTTTCAATTCTTGTTTGGATGGTTGTTAAGCATTATATTGTATTGTATTGTTAGTTTAAATATAATGTTTATTTTGATAGTTACTTACACTTTGATGGGAATTGAGATGATTGACATTGTTACATTTTATTGCATAATTTATCGTATTGTATTTTACTCTATTATTTTAATGATAAAAAATTCAATCGGTAAAAGCCAGCCTGCATTGCATTCCTAACTACCAATCACATCAATAGTGCAATATTTCAGGCTCGTCAAATTATTATAACTAACCAAAATTAGCCTTAGATAATAAACAAGCCATAATAACATGAAAAACGGTTTTGATGTTTCAATCTCAACTACTTTACCAGTAATGTCTTTTAATTAAAGGGGAATTAGTTTTTCCTTTCTTTTTAACAGAGTATTATATATTTCCAAAGAAATTATAAGATAACCCAATTTTTTAATGAACATGAATGTTTAGGTCGAAGATCTATTGAAAATAATTTTTCTTATGAATTACATTGAATATGTTGTCGTTGAACATAAAATTTAAGGACCGAGGGCAATGTTTTTAAAGACAAAAAAGAAAAGAAAGGACATAAATGTTTTAGTAATGCTTCAAAAACACTCGATTAAAGAAAAGATTATGCATGTTACCAAATTCACTGTTAGAGCTAATATTTTCAATTTGAGATTCCAATAACCATTTTACAAATATGTCCTTATCTTTCAAGAACACCCCTATAAATAGCCTTACTAATTTTTATTTTTCTTCATCACAAATCATTTAGTTGTTAATTACCACCACTTAGGAATTAACTAAGCTAGAAACTATGTCATCCTCTTCTGCATTAATCTTGTTCAGCTCATTGCTAATTTTCTCATTAATTTACTCTCAAGGGAATGCACTTAGTTCAAATTACTATGAGAACACATGCCCTCAAGTTGAAGATATTGTTACTCAAGTTGTTACTGAAGCAACAAAGAAGGACAAAACTGTCCCTGCTGCTCTTCTAAGAATGCACTTCCATGACTGTTTCATAAGGGTACATTTTTGCATATTTTTAATCTAATTAGTACTATAGTTTATACAATTCGTTCTGATTTTTTTAATTTGACATAGGGTTGTGATGCTTCGGTGTTACTGAACTCAAAGAAGAACACTGCAGAAAAAGATGGTCCTCCTAATGTTTCTTTGCATGCATTCTATGTTATTGATAGTGCAAAGAAAGCCATTGAAGCGCGTTGCCCTGGCATAGTATCCTGTGCTGATATCTTAGCCTTTGCTGCTAGAGATTCTGTTGTCGTTGTAAGCAAACATTTCTTATGTTTGAACTGTCTGACCATCTCATCTAAAAATTGAGTCTTCCTGCATTTCCAGTTATTAACTTTAACGTCTATGAGCAGTCTGGTGGACCTTCATGGGACGTGCCTAAAGGAAGAAAAGATGGAAGAACATCGAAAGCTAGTGAAACAATACAATTGCCAGCTCCAACTTTTAACATAAATCAACTTCAACAAAGCTTCTCTCAAAGAGGATTATCACTTGAAGACCTTGTCGCTCTCTCAGGTTATCTACACAAACTTATATACACTTATAACGTTAAAAATAAATAAATTACACTATCGATCGGTGTATATAACTTGTTATGTCATGTTACTTGTCTTACTTTTCGGGTTTATTGAACTCTTTTGTATTTGAGCTAATTATAATTAACAAATACTGTGTCTTAATCTGCAGGTGGACACACCTTAGGATTCTCTCATTGTTCATCATTCACTAACAGGATACACAATTTCAATAACACACATGATGTTGACCCAACATTGCATCCAACTCTAGCAGCAACGTTAAGGGGCATTTGTCCACTGAAAAACAGGGCTAAAAATGCTGGAAGTCCCATGGATCCTTCCTCAACGATGTTCGATAATACATATTACAAGTTAATTCTGCAGAACAAGAGTTTATTCTCTTCAGACCAAGCTTTGCTCAGTAATCCCAAGACAAAAAATCTTGTTTCTGATTTTGCTAGCTCAAAAGACGCGTTCTTTAAAGCATTTGCTAATTCCATGATCAAAATGAGCAGCATAAATGGAGGTCAAGAGGTCAGGAAGGATTGTAGGGTGGCTAATTAATTACTAATATCCAGAAAAATGGAAGCAGTGTGGAGATTTGTATTTTTTATATTTTTTCAGATTTCATTTAGCTACTTATAATTAAGAACACTTTTCTAAGTGTTACTGTAGGATTTTATGGAGCAGAGCTTTTGTAAAAGTCATTATCAATGTATGAGTTTGTATTTTGTAACTTACTATAAATAAATAGTCATTATCAATGTATCAGTATTTGATAAAGGCTTGCGTTTTTTTAACCCTGACCAATCCATGTGACCTGCTTGATGAGCGTCAGACATCAAAATTGGTTCATGGGCATTCTTTTGTCCTACTATTTGGTGCTACAAAACAAGTTTACTTACGCTCAATCTTTGCACCAAATCGATAAATACATGAATATTTTTTAAGTTTGCACCTTTATCACTAATCAGACGGAATTTGTGATTGGGTAAAAGGTCACTAAACAACTTTTCTGCTTACAGCTCGAAATGTTCAGTTAATTTTTATAGCGATGAAAGTTGGTGGTTTTTTTTTTTTTTTGCTGCTTAGACTTTTGAAAAAATATTTCTTGTATTGCATATTCAGGCGACAATATGAACACTGCATTGGAGATTATGCAGTCGGTGTCATATTAGACACAATGACATAATTTTCAAGGTAAAAATGAAATACACTCATAAATTTTGTGGGGTAAATTAATTTTATAATTTTGTTTATTTATGCCATCCATGATTACATGTTATAGAACAATAATTTAATTTGTCATGACAAATTTATTTCAATTATAAATATAGTTGATTGATTTTTGAAGATAAAAGTGTTAAGTTGAGTGATTTTATTGATACAAAAAAAATTAATGACTTTCTAGATAATTTTATATAATTTAACGATATTTTAAGATATTAACTCCTTAAAATGGCCCAAATGTCTACAGTCTACTAGTTGTAGTATTTTGAGAAAAAGTTAGATAGCAATGATCCAATTCAGGAAAATTAAATAGAGGTCCATATATAGGGTCAAACTAAGGGCCACACTAGATTTTCTTTAATTTAATTAAAGCTAGATGTTTTTAGATCTCACTCTTGTATGTCCACTGATACACAAAAAATCAAACATTCCAAACACCAATTTTAGTGTAAATGTAACATCACAATTCACATGTATGAATTACTTGCTTCAATTGTGTTACGTTCTTAGCTAAATTCATATAAATTTCAAGAGGTTATACATCTTATGAGACAACAATTCGATATGTGATTTTAAGATTTATTATTTCTTCTTTAACAAGTTCATACTTTTAACCAGTAAAAATCAATAGATGCACACACACATAAAAAAATAAAACAGAGTTATTGCGAAAGACATTTAATGAGTAGAGACATACATACATCCCTAGTGCGATGTAGAGCAACTAAATCTTGCTTAGTTAGGATGAAGAAGAGGAAGTAAATCATGTTTATTATAACTAAATAATTGAGAACCCTAGGTAATTTATTAGACAAATTGGATTCTCACAAGCTATACATTTTTTTTCTATTAAAATTTCCTTTTATTATCACGAGATTAATCAGATATGTATAGTAGTTACTCATAGAGATCTTTACGAGGCATATTTATAATCAAAAAAGAAGTAAAAAGGTTATTCTCTCCATCACCTTTTTGACATTTTGGTTTTACATAGAAGGCTCTAGCCAGCGGAGCAATGGTGGTGGAGTAATAATCAAGTAGATAAGCAGCAAGATCAAATCATAATTATGTGTTATCATTGCAAACAAACAAATAGATACTATGCTTTATATTACTGATAATAGATAAATATAAAGCCATGCGTGAAGTGATATTTTACTTGGCTACTTACTATCTTACTCTACTAGGTAGCTCTTTTTTTTCAAATTGAAATGACTAATGCTGAGAACCAGACAATTTAGCTTAATTACATGCATAATGACTTTTCCACCATAAATTTCAAATGTTAACCACCATAGTTAATCATTAGGCATAAAGCATACAAAAAGTAATGAGAAAAATAGCAATTAAAGATGCTTAGAAAACACTCCACTATCTATGACAAACATGCATGCCACCAAATTTACTAGTCAAGTTAATCATTTCAAATCTACAAATCAAAGAATAATCACAAAGTTTTGGCCCTCTACCTATAAGTAAGCATTTGTAGTTGTCAACATAACATAAGTCATAAAATAGTTACACAGATTTCCAATGGCATACTTTGTTCCATTGTTGAGCACATTTCTTTTTTTCTCCATCTACTATTCTCAAAGCAATGCACTTAGTTCAAATTACTATGCAAAAACATGCCCTCAAGCTGAAGACATAGTAATGAAGGTTGTTAAGGAGGAAGCACAGAAAGACAGAAGAGTACCCGCTACACTTCTAAGGATGCATTTCCACGATTGTTTCCTACGGGTATATAAGCACATTCCCTTGTTATTTCTAAGCATATTAGTTTTACTGTACTTATTTCCTCTGTTCTACCTTGCTTGAAGGGCTGTGATGCTTCAATTTTGTTGAGCTCTAAGGGGAAAAACACCGCGGAAAAGGACGCGCCTCCTAATGGTTCTTTACACGGATTCTATGTTATTGATGGTGCAAAGAGAGCAGTGGAAGCTATATGTCCTGGCGTTGTCTCTTGCGCTGATATTTTAGCGTTTGCTGCAAGAGATGCAGTTGTGTTAGTAAGTACATATCCCCTGCTAAGAAAATGCTGTACTACAAGTGTAGATATATGGTATAAATGTTACTAACAGAGTTCAAATTTCATTGAAGATGTTAGTACTAAAGTAGAGACTACAAAAATCAGGACTAACAATACTGTAACAGCCCATCCCACACAACTTTAAAGAGTATTGTTTCTTTATATACTCAACATCTCTCTCGTGTTTTGATGATGTGGATTTGCCTAGAGTGTAACAAATACTATATTCTACACGCTTATTGCCAGTTGTTTTTCAGTCTGGCGGACCTTACTGGAACGTGCCTAAAGGAAGAAAAGACGGACGAATATCAAGAGCTAGTGAAACAACACTGCTTCCAAAGCCTACATTCAACATTTCTCAACTCCAACAAAGCTTCCGTCAAAGAGGTCTTTCACTAGACGACTTGGTGGCTCTCTTAGGTCAGCATAACAAATGCTCCAAAAAAATTCACGAGTTAGTTTCTTAAATGATCACTCAACTTACATCTGTTCTCTCTGGTTTGCAGGTGCACACACTCTAGGATTTACTCATTGCTCATCATTTATGAACCGTATATACAACTTCAACTCCACACATGACATCGATCCTACACTGCGTCCATCGTTTGCTGCAAGCTTGAAGGGCATATGTCCACTCAAAAACAGGGCAAAAAACGCAGGAATAAGCAATGATCCTTCACCAACAACATTTGATAATACTCATTACAGGCTAATTCTCCAAAAGAAAAGTTTGTTATTTTCGGATCATTCATTGCTGACTACACCAAAAACGAAGAGCTTAGTTTATAAGTTTGCTACATCAAAAGCAGCTTTTCATAAGGCATTTTCTAATTCCATGATTAAGATGAGTAGCCTTACAGGAGGTCAAGAAGTTAGAAAAGATTGCAGGGTTGTAAACTAATAAATTATTACTTCTACTTATATATTAGCAGCAATTTGATATATTTGTATAAGATGATCCAGGAAAATTGGATTGTCTATCACTTGTTATATTATACTTCTCTATTTTATTGATTGAAATGGAAGAATTCATCAGTTGTTTCAAATGTTGTAATTGGGAAGAAAAAAAAGGAAGGGAATAGACAAAGGAAGTTGTTACCACAAGTGGCCGGCATAAAGAACACAGCATCAAAGATTAGTTCCCTTGCATTTTAACTTTACACGCCTAAATTAATATAAATATTTTATCATAATCCTCATATTAATTGATGTATAATTTCAAATTTTAAAAAATAATTTAAAAAATAAATAATTACTAACCGAAGGATTAATATTTTTATGTAAAGAGAAATTCAATGAATATCGAACACCCCACAAGTCCATATATGTCAATTTCCCAAATTAACGAGTGACTAATATTTGATCAATAACTAAAAAATAGCTCCTAAAATTGAAATTATATTACTTTGAGCTATACTATTGATCCAGCATATCTTAAAAGAATATAATTAAAATATTTTACTAAACTAATCTATTAATGATATTTTAGAATTTCAAATTTAATTATTATTATTATTTTATATAATTATTTAATACTAAAAATTGATTGAAAATGGTAATCATTCTCATTTTTTTTTAAAAATTCTAATTTATTTATTTTTATATGAAACAAGTAAAATGAAACTGATGTAGTACCAAGAAAAGTAGAAAACTGAAAGAAGAGACTCCTTTAGATAAAATAATTTAGAGAAATATAGCAAAACCCTAAAATGGCATCTATTTGTAAACTTTTGTTATCTAGAATTTTGTTTTAAAACTATTTTCCCAATAAATTTTGCAATAGGGCCCGACTAGAAATCATCATATACAGACAGTCCTTATCATCCTGTATATTCTGGAAGCCACTTTCATAAAATCTTGTCGAATACCCAGAAATCTTAATCATCCATGGCATTTGCTCACTGCTTTCTTACCGTCCCGGCTGATACTTCAAACTTCCACACCGCTACTTCCATTCTTACCCGACCCTTTTCATCTTCGGTGAGTTCTTCTTTTTCTTCCTCAAACCTCAACACTTGCAGGCTCTCTAATTTCCCCAAGAATTTGAGAATCCGACACAAAGGTAATCCCTTTTTTCTCTCTATGACTGAATAAATTGGGTATTTCAGTAGATTGCTAATTTGTTTTTTTCCCTAAAGTTTTTCGTAGATAACGTTTACTAATTCAATTTAGTGATGGTTAATTATTGAGTTGAAAGAATTGAAATCTGGTGGTTGTTGATTTGAAAATCTTGCAATTCCCTGTTAAAGAGCAAGTGTTTCCTTTACCCAACTTCATTGTGCGTATATGCTATGACCAGTTAACGTCAGTGTAAAGTTCACCATCCTACTATAATTTCTAGGCCGTTAGGTATAAATGGTCTCTTATATACAGTTTGTTTTTGAGAAAAAATGGGGGTTGGGGAAATGGGAAGGGGATTACAAGGTGGGAAACTGTACCCTCGCCAACGAGGTGAAAGTTGAGGTAGCCAACTAACTCAGTTACTAGGATTCCCATTTCCCCCCAAGGATTCCCCCCAGCTCTTTTGATCAGTTATATGCTTTTCTAGTTTAAACAATGTATCGTCCCAACTCCTCGGACCCCCTAACCAAAACAAAAATAATGGTTTTATACTATCCGATGAACCACTGGACTTTTTAAAAAAAGTGTAAGCTATAGAGATATATGGAACTTTTAGTTTTGTAAAGATTTTCTGTTGCTTTATAGAATTTCTTGGGAGAGAATGTGTCCTATCTGTTTGATTGAACAAATTGGCTATATAGAGAACAAAATTAATCTTCAGTAGTTAGTTGTTACTTGATGTCTACTTTTTTTGAGGATTATGAAAGAGTCGCTAATCCAATCATACCACTCTGGAAGCATTTTCTCTGTCTTTCAAAATTTGGACCTTGGGAACTTATTATTGCTAATTTCTCCAGCATCTGTTAAGGCTCAAGCATCTGATGCCAGCGCAGCTGCAGATGCTTTCACCAACTTCAAGCATGTACTGTTACCAATAACAGACCGGAATCCTTATCTCTCTGAGGGTTCAAGACAGGTCTTTTTCTTTTCTACATTTTCCTTCTTAGTATTGGTGCTTAGACAAATCAACCCTTGCCTCCTTTAACTTAATTCTATGGGAATTATGGATTTCCAACTATTTAGCCTCTTCGTGTGCATTTTTTTTTTTTAAAAAGAACTAATTTCATTTTCCCAGTGTCATATTTGAAGTAGATAGTATGACATCTTTGATGGAAGATTGTGAGATCCTCTATAATTCTTTTATTTGGTGAACTTCATTTACCGTAGCATTTATGTGACAGGTTTTGATTCCTCATTAGCTGTAGCCAAAGACAGAATTACATCTCACCTCTGGATGACTATTGGTGGGGAGAGGGGGGGGACTTTAGAGGTGGAGGTTCACTTGGTGGGAAAGCAGCAGGGGAGGGGGGAGATTTACAGTTCTTTTGCAACTTTATAGTGGCCATGGTGGGTTAGGCAGACAGGGGGAAAAGCTTTTGACAAAAAAATAATGTTAGAAACTTAGAAGGCATATTAACATAATGGTACAGAAAGCTGTAGAGCAAGGTGTAGTGGGTTGCAAGTGCAGAAAAAATTAAATGGGGCGTGCTGGTGGCGTTATACTGTGACAGAAATAGCTCCCAGTGGCAAACCCACTGCCTCCATTGTCATTCTTATATGGAGAAAACCACCAATTCAGCAGTTTGAACTATTTGCATGGTATAACCACCAAATCTAAATAGGTGTAAATTGTAAAGGTTTCAATAAAATGCTGGTCCCTTTTGTTCCTCAACACTGTGGTTCTGAGAAAAGACATGTATAGGCTAATCGTGGAACAAATTAAGCAGACTGTCTCAATACCTTTTGTCAAACTGCATTATATTTTTTTGTTGTCTTTCTCCCTCTTTCCTTATTTGAACATTTTTTCATCATAATCTTTCTTTTTAGCGACTCTAAAAGTGCTCATCATAAATTTTTAGTGACTTGACTTATGCTCATCATACATAATTGGATTTCCTCTTCTTTGGGTTCTATTGATCAGAGCATCCAGCAGCGCCTCCCCGGTGTAGAATTCGAACAAAAAATAGCCATACCTACGCAATTCACCTAGCTTAGTTGATTTCTAAGTGGCATGTACTTTCTATAAACCTTATAAAAGTAACTTATTCTTGGTACATTATCAGGCTGCAGCAACTGCCGCTGCTATGGCAAAGAAGTATGGAGCTGATATAACTGTTGTTGGTATGTCACCAATGTTGTGTGCTATTGGTTCTTTCAAAAGCTAAACTACAGAGTTGACTTTCTTCGTACAGAAACTTTTAGTGGTAGATTTCAAGGAATCTAGGTCTTTCTGGTCTTTGCAGTTATTGATGAAAAGGAGAAAGAAGCATACCCAGAGCATGAGACTCAACTAGCAAGCATCCGATGGCATTTATCTGAAGGTGTATTTACCTTTTTTCCCTGTATTTAAAAAGCATGAACCAGTTGTTGTATTGTGATTTAAAAGTGCAACCTGGAAGGGTGCACTAGACTTGCAAAACAACTGGCTTTTTAAATGCAAGCCTGTAGCACAGAGTAATTTTGGGGAACTTTCAGTATTTGGCTTGCATTATGAGACAGATTCTTCAATCTTATTATAGCATGGTTATCTCGTTTTTCTGCTGCGGAGTTTTTGTTATGTGAGTTCGCAGTTATTTGATCATGCATCACAGCATCCTGGTACATGGAGATAGGAAAGTTGAAACATGTTCTGTTTGCTTGTATGTTGTATATGCTTTGGCCTACTTCTCATAATACTAACTACTGTGAACTCGTTCGTCACTCTTACTTTGACATGTGTTTGGTATGTTTGCTGATTGGAATACGCAAACCTTTGTACAGGTGGATATCAAGAATTCAAGCTGTTAGAGCGGCTAGGTGAAGGAAGCAAGCCAACAGCCATTATTGGTGAAATTGCTGATGATATGAACTTGGATATGGTAGTTATGAGCATGGAAGCTATCCATTCCAAGCATGTAGATGCAAACCTTCTCGCTGAGTTCATCCCTTGCCCTGTATTGCTTTTGCCCCTATGAAGAAGAAATGTATCTGAAAAGCAAGTGGATATTAGCATTACCTCACTTGAAGTTTATTACTAGCTTCATCAATCAGGTCTCCAACCATTTGATACTGTTCTCTACTTCATTGACCATGAACACAAGTTTTACATTTGAGGTAAGTGGTAATAGAAAGGAACAAACAAGCTGGTTCATTGCATCTTAATCTTGTGGAGAGATATGAATGTTGTTTACTCTTGAAGTATAAAACGCTTGTTCATCTTGAAAGTAGAATAGATTTGTTGCCTTTATACTGAATTACCGACTGATGTTATCTTTGAATTTGTATCTTGACTTATTTCTTAATACTTGTCGTATGACTCATATTTAATCAACTGAGTCGCTAAGAATTAGAAATGAAGAATAATGTAAAGACATTGATAAATCCCAACTGTGCTGGATATTTTACATGCCACATAAAGTGAAAACAAAAGGAATTGAAGGCCCAGCAAGACTACTACTTTAGTGCTACCATTATGCTGAGTAGATAGCATTATTATTAGTAATTAGTAATGAGAGTGGTTCAATTACTGGGATTGCTGTAGAAGGAGTTAAAAAGCTTTGGCAACGTGACCTCGCAGAATTTGCTGGTGATAGATAACAGCAGCCAATGCTCCCAGAAAGGGTCCAACCCAGAAGATCCACTATACGCAAAACAAATTAGGAATTGTATATATGAGATTGATTAGCTTTAAAAGACTGACTAGTTAGCTATAGGCAGCTTGATGTAGAATTATCGTACTTACATGGTCATTCCAAGCTGTGGTATCGTTGTAAATGACAGCAGCTCCGAAACTCCTAGCAGGATTGATGCCAGTGCCAGTGATGGGAATGGTGGCCAAGTGGACCATGAACACCGAGAATCCAATTGGCAATGGTGCTAGTACCTGTGGGTGCACAAACGATGAACATATTTTTTTTACTACTGCAACTTCACAAGTTTCCCGATCCATATCAATCTCTTAACACTCTCTTCCTTTTTTTTCAATTATGTCTTGTTAGTGTTACATCCAGAGTTTTCAAAAGTTACGTATATTGTAGGGCTGATATGCGTAAATATGTCTTTTTTTATAATGTGGTGTCCAGATCAATTTCTGTGTTTGGTGCCTTCCATCATACCATTATTAGGTAACTCTACCCATCAACACTTGTTTATTTTGTTTCTACTAGGATTTAAGCCTTGTTCTCTAGAATTTGCGCACACTTGATATTTTACAAAATCTATGTATATAATTTAATTATCTATGGTAACTCTTCGTCCCTGGTAAAGTTAAATAATTTGAATGACATGTAAATTAGTTTATACGCGTTTGAAACTCAATACAACATTTATGTTAGAGGGAAGTGTATATATATATATATATATGTTTCCAAATTGAGTAGTGTATGCTTTATTTTTGGAAAAGAAGTAAAAAGAAAGCGTGTGATATGATGAGAGTTTGTGCATGTATAGTTATGGATGAGACTTACAGGGACGTGGGAATCACGTGCTTTTCTTTTGGCGTCGGTGGCAGAGAATACGGTATACATGAGTAGGAAAGTGCCAATAACCTCAGCACCTAATGCTGCGCCCGTTGAGTAGCCAACTGCGACGGTGTTAGCACCGCCACCATGCGTGTTATAGTCATCCTTCATCACACCTTTCACTAAACCAACGCCACAAATGGCTCCTAAGCATTGCGCCACCATATACGCCACCGCTCTTAGTAATGACACCTTCCTTGCTAGTAATAACCCAAACGTCACTGCTGGGTTTATATGCCCACCTATACGTACATTTCATTCATAAAATCTTTGTTTATATAAAGTGTTTAAAGTTCAAATCCTGACTCCATATGGAGAGAAAATTAAAGAACAAAATGAGTAGTACTACGTACGTACCAGAAATCCCAGCAGTGGAATAGACAAGAACAAAAATCATGCCACCAAAAGCCCATGCAATACCAACAAGTCCAACGCCGTCGCAGGGACCAACTTGCTTCTTGTGGCCAATAACAGTAGCCACGCTAACATAGAGGAAAAGAAGCGTCGCAACAAATTCAGCAATCAATGCTCTGTAAAAAGACCAGTTGTTCAGCTCCGCTGTATCAAACAGCGGAGCTGAAGGTGGATCCACGTAGTCTTTCACCATATCTTCATAGTTACTAATCAATTATCGCTTCTGCGAGGTGAAGGAGAAGGATGCTACGTTGGGTATTTATAAACTATAGCATATGTAGCAGTGAATATAAAGAGAGGTTGTGTACTGGTTACAACTTACCACTTACAAGTTAAAAGGTGTGAGTAAATTGATGCAACAACAACACATGCATCCATATTTGGACACTGCCAAAAGTGGCCATTTACGTAACCTCCGAAGTTCCAGTCTGACGTTAATTCGTTACCAAAATAATACAGATGAATAATAATACGGTACCAATTCCTATATGTTAGGAGCGAGGGAAACAGATGGGGGGTCGGAGATGTGCCTGGTTAGATATGTAACTTATTATTAATTTGATCTCAACTAACATTACTTATATATTCAATTATTATAATTTCACATTTATAAATTGATCGATGCATCTAAAAATAATCATAGTAATTGACTCTCGCATTAACCTCATTATACATATCGAAGTACTTTATAAATCTATTTTAATATTTGAGCTTGTTGATCAACCATTTCTGTATGTGGAATGTTTGTCTTTCTTTTCCATGTGACTGCTAAAATTTCTTTAAAAATTTACTCTCAAAATATGAGTACACCCCTCCCCTCCAAAGTTATTTTAAAGTAAAATCGTTACTTACTCATTGAAAAAGATGTTACGGACCCACCGATTCTTTTCCTCAACTCCAAGATTATTCTATTTTAATCACTAGCCTAGAAAATAAAGTTTTCAAACTGCCATATATAGGTAATAGCTAATATGTAGTATCACTTAGCTAGGAGGTTAGGACACACGATCGATAATCTAAAAAAAATGTATTGTATATATATCTTAAATAGTGTATATAATTTTTTGACATTTTAGTAGTTACAACCTAGATTTTGTTGTTGTTGGTGGTGTTTTTTTCTTTAGTTTTCACGAGGTTCCCAAACTTTGTAATTCATAATAAGTACATTTGATATGTCTATGTCCTTTAGTAAAAATAATAATAATGTCTCTATTAAAGATATATTAGAATTAGAGATGTATATATACATTTTTTCTCATAATGCGCTGTTTTTTTGTTACGTTATACATTCACTTTAGGTCAGTAAAACGGCTTCATTCTTTGTGAATTTAGACGGGACATTCATTAATTACTATTTCATGTATATATCGATCGATGCATCTAGAACGTCAGATAACGGTAGTGACCGTCTCTCACATTACCTTATTGTACCTAGTACTACTCTATAAATCTATTGGGGTCGTTTGGTGTGATGGACAAAAAGATTTAATTCAGAGATAATTTTTAAGTGGTCTTTAATCTGTTGTTTGGTTGCTAAAGGTGGGATCACTTACCTCAGGATTAACAATTAGTCCTAGGATAAGTTATCCCTCCTTGGAGGTGGGATAATAATCTATCTCAGGATAACTTATCCTAAGATTAGGTAGGTAAAATAACAAAAATATCCTCCTTAAACCCCACTTTTATACACCACTTTACATTCATGTATATTAACATAATTTTTAATAACATTCACAACCTTAATTATTTGTTGTTCTTATGATAATATATTTTTCTATTAAAAATTACATTTTATAAATACAATTTTTATTTATGAATATAATATAAGTTGAATTTATTTGCCTAACTCTTATGTTTTTTTATATTTTGATTTCTCTCAAAATGTTCACTCCACTACTAAATTGCACATTTTTAATTAAATAGTTTATTACTCACTTAAAAATTATATTTTATATATTAATTAAAATGTAGATAACTTTAATAAAAAAATTTCTTTTACTTTTAATAAACTTAAAATGGAAGTTTTATTTTTAAGCTAAATAAGATGAATGTTTTATTTTTAAACTAAATAAGATGAAAGTTTTATTTTAAAGCTAAATAAGATGGAAAATATTTTTAAGCTAAACAAGATGAAAGTTTTATTTTTAAGTTAAATAAGATGAAAATTTTAATTTTAAAAACACACGGCACAATCATGGAAATACACACCCAAAAATATTTAAGCTAAATAAGATGATTTTTTTTATTTTTAAGAATTAAGAATGAATAACTAAAGCTTGCAAAGAAAATGTAAAAAACAAAGAAATTAAATAAGGTGAAGGGTATTTTTGTAAACAAACAACTTATTCTTAAAAATTATGCAATGAATATAAGTTTGAATTTGACAAACCAAACAAGCAACAAAAATTAACCCGCATACAGTGGCGGAGCCACATGTAGTTGAGGGGTGTCGACCGACACCCCTTCGTCGGAAAATTACACTATATAGCTAGAGTAAAAATATTTTTTTATGTATATATTACAATATTGACACTCCTCGACTTCTAAGCAATTTTACTTCTTTATATTTTGATACCCCTTAGTCGAAGTTCTGTCTCCGTCACTGCCCGCATAACTAGTCCCAGCATAACTTATTCCAATATAACTTATCCGAGCATAACTAATCCAGCATAACTTGTAGTCAAATCAAACGACCCTTACAGATGGTTGAACGAATTATGTATGTCACACACAAATTTACCACCTTCTTTTTTACCATATGAGTACTACTACATGTCTAAAAGAGTATACTCTTTACAAAAAACAAATACAAGTACTCCATTGAAAATAATTTTGGGGACCCACTGATCATTCTTTTCCTCAACTCCAAGATTATTCTATTTTGGTTACCAAATTAAATGGTTTTTCAAGCTGGCATCCCTTATATATCCAGCATAATTAGCTACCTACATGTGAGGATGGACAAATAAAACTAACTTAATTGTGTAACTACCTGTTTTAATTTAATGGGCCTCGAAACTTGTAACAATTGAATGAGGAATTTAATATGAGTAGACAGCAAAATCTGGAAGAAAATGCCTTTTTCACAAAATTAAAATTGCTGCTTAAATATAATATAATCTCAATTCGGAAAAGAAAAAGAGAATGCAAATTACAGAAGGTAGGTTCTCAATTCTCATACAAACAGAGTAATACAAACCTTTCGATTGTTGATTTGAAAAAAGGTAGCAACTATTTACCAATATCTTTTTGTTTCTGAATCAGTTTTCTTTTTCCTTTCCAAAAAATTATATAAAAAATCAAATTAAAGGCAAATCAATTATTCGATTTTTCATCAAAGTTCATTTGATTTATTGAATCAAAATTATTGAATTAAGATGAATCTATAACAGACGGCTAAATCCACACTTAAATAGAAACCAAATCGAATAGACGGAGACATGTAAACTTTGCTGTTCATGTCAACAAAATAAATTTATTTTTAAAATTTCTGTCCAAAATTTGCAAACTTTCTTCGAACAAAGGGCCACCTGCCCACCTCAATGTTGGACCAATTTTGTGAGTCCACCCAAAATCCCAAACAAATTGGGCCACCTTTTGCTAGTTCAAATCAAGGTACATGAAGTTAAGTAATTTGAACTATTTATTTCGTGTCAATTTATGTGATGTAGTTTGATTTTTTACTGAATAAATAGAATATAACATAGGTAAAAATATCGATAGTGTCATTAAATATTGAGATAATATATAGGTGTATCGTTTAACTTGGCCTTAATTGACATTTATATGTATTATCCGATTTACAAAAGGCAAGCAAGCAAATTGTTGGCTTTCATTTCACTTTAAACCAACGGCGTCCCTAATACGAATCCTTTCATTTACAACGTTTTAGTTTGTGTTTTCCATGTACTAACCTTTTCTATTGTAGCTTTGGTTTAGCTATATGGCTTATGGTAACCACGAATTATCTCCCACATCGGACACATCAAGACAACGTTCCAGAAACGAGGCATATAATAAGAGATAGCAGGTATCAGAGAAAGTTATCTTTGCGCTTGGGGCAATGACGCAGCTAGTGAGGTTCTAACCGAGGCGCGTCTATTGCTGGTTGAAAACTATTTCCAAACCCCCTCTTTGGCCTGGGTTCTGCCTTGGCCTTTGAGAATTTTTGAAAGGGCTTCCCTTCTGGGTTAAGCCCTCCAATTCTAGTCTAAAAATATTTTCCTTCTTATAAAGCATTTGAGATGAACTCTAAACACTTTTTGATAGTTGAAAAAGGGTAAATGGTTAGCTCACAATAAGATTTAAGCCACTTTTTTGTACTTTACTTTTTGTCGAATAAGTGGAGTTCATTGCGTATCCTCATTGGGTTTTGAAGTATATCGATTTTAACTTATTGGTTATCGGTTAGTAGAGATGCAAAGTTGTTATAGAATCATTAAGCTATTGACTTATTGGTTTATCGGTTATTGATCGTTATCGATTTGGTAGAAACAAGGTGACAAATTGAATGAATCATATACATGAGTTCACAAGTTACATCTTGCTAAAAAAACAAATACTTTTACATTGTAGAATAACCAAGAGAAATAAAAGTAAGAAACTAAACTCTCTAAGTCAGAGACTTTATATACAAAGTGGTATAAATATAATTATTTAATTTACTATGGGGTTATCGGTTAACCTATTAAGAAAAAACTTCAAACCGTTAAAGAACTGATAACTCAATAAAAAAAAAAATCAAAATTGTTATCTGAACGCTAAACCAATAACTCATTAATGATAAATCAATAAAAAAAATTGGGTTCGAATTATCAGTTTCGGTTCGATTTTGAACAACCCTAGTTCAAATGACTAAAATGTTGATAGTATTATTAAATATGTCAAATAAATGAAGTGTGAAGTATTATTTTTGGGACAAAATATGATAGTATTATTAAATATGTCAAGTAAATAAAGTGTGAAGTATAATTTTGGGACAACCTAATAAAAAAGTGTATCACTGAACCATTGATATATACTCAATTCTCTTTTGCTTCTGTTTTTTCCATATATTAATTAACGTTGATCCAATGAATAATTCAATACTCTAGATCCTATATTTTTATTTATTTTTAAATAATAATTTATCAACTATAAATTAAGTTTTGTCCCATTAGAACCTGAAATATATCATTGTGCCACAATCCAATGAGTCAC